TTGAAGTCCCCAGCCAAGATAAGTTTTTTGGGGAGTTTATCAAACAGTTCGATGAAGTCGTCCTTTTTTGTAATCTCGTTCGGGGGACAATAGACGGAGGCTATGAATATCTCTCCCAGATTGGTCAAGACACTCACACCCACCGCCTGAAAGTTATCCGTCGAGATGTCCAAGTTAGGATCATAATAGTACTTGATTGATTTCTTAATTATAAGGCCAACGCCTCCCCTGCAGGAATCACTTGGGTGGTCTGATCTAAAAAAATCGTAGCCTTTGGGTCTCCCACGATACGACATGCCACTGGCAAGATGGGTTTCAGTTAACAACATGATATCTAGATCTCTGTCGTGGATGAAGCGATAGACTTCATCTGATCTTTTAGTAATGCTATTGCAGTTGAAGCATGCAATCTTGATGGGTAAATTGCTCATTTTTTGTTATTCATTGTATTGCCTGGATTGTTTTGGAATTTATTCTCCAGTGTGACTACCCTTTGGGCCAAGTTATTAATAGAATTTAAAATTTGATTCATGGTGTTGAACAGTTCATCAAATCTATCTGGTTGATTTTGATGACTTTGTTCAACTGCTGGGTTATTATTTTGGTTTTCAGATTGATCTTGATTAGCGTATTTGTTTAAATTGGGGAAACTCCTATCGTCTCTAAAAGCATCTCTAAAAGATACTCCTTTTTTAAGGGTGGATGCTGCTGGGGGAACTTGTTGACCTGTTCTAATGGCTTTTTTCTCTTCTATTTTTTTAAGGAGTTCTTTTCTTTGTTCCGTAATTGTTTTGGCGATCAGACAGCCCCTATAGCTGGCTGCATGATTGCCACCACAATTTACGCACTTAGGATCTGTAATAAATTTAGGTTTTTCACATTGGAACGATAGGTGCTCGCCGCTGCATTTTACGCAGCGGGGAGGGTAGTTGCAAAAGTTGCTTGAGTGATTGTAGCCTTGGCATTTTTTGCATTGTATCGGTGTTAAAGGGGAGTTAGATGGCATCGGTTCAATCATAACTTTCATGTTGGCTATTGTTTTGATTTCGAAAATTTTTTCAATATTGTCACTATGATCAAAGGTAATCGTGAACGTGTTTAATGGTTGGTATTTTATTGTAGGGGGGATAATTTTTGAGCAATTATCTTCCCCTGTTTTACCTTGTGTTGCATCCGCCACCGCATCGCCGCTACCGGATTCCGCCGATACGTCAGGGTTAACAGTTGGTTGTTCAGGAGCGTTAGCTGTGGGGGCTACATTGTTAGAATCCGTAGCTGAATTCGAATTGCTGGTTTTATCAGAAGTTGCTGAAACATTTAAGGAAGCATCAGGTTTGTTTTTTCCCGGATATTCGACTATACGTTTAAGATTGGGTAGAACAGATAGCGGGTTGAAACCGCTAGTTTTAAGGCTGTTAATGATATTGATAGTGGGGATGTCGTGATGGAGGCCTTTCGCTATTACCCTAATTGGTCTGGTGTTTTTGTTTTCAAATGTATTGAAGTATATATTAGCTGTTTGGAGCTCCTTAACTAGTTTGTTATGAGTTTCATCATCGATGGTATTGATTTTAAAAGAATCATTAGGTAAAACGGTTGAATTCCATTTGGTGGAATCAATTTTGTTTAATGCCTTGCATAGATCGTTAAATTTTGTGTTTATTGCCGTGTAAATAGGAGGGGGCTTTTTAAGTTTCTTAATTTTAACTTCTTCAGATTGGGATACATTGGTTGTTGAAGTTGAAAGGTTGTTAAGAATAGGGCTACTGTTGGTATCTTTATTGACATTAATTTTACCCTTTTCACTATTTTTGGCTTTGGTAACGGCTGCCTTAGTTTTTTTAATTCTGTTAATGGCTGAATTAATAATAGGGTTAATACTACCCGGATTAACAAATATTCCGTCGTCAGATCCAAGAGAAATGTCGTTAGCTTCGTCTTCGTCGTCGTCATCCATTTCGTCGTCATTTCCAAGGACGGCGAATTTGTTCTGGTCCTTAAAAAGCTGCTTTTGTGCCAGTGATGGAATTTTCTTAGATTTAGAGGGTGAATCTCCAGAGGTTTCCCTTTGTCTTTTGCCGGGAACTGGTATGGAGGGGTTGGGGTTGGCTTGTTTTCTGGCTGCTGCCAATTCTGTTACTAATTCGCTAATTTTTGTTGACATGGTATTAAGTTGCAGTGTAAGCTGATTAACTTGATTGAGAAGTTGGGTGTTTTGATTTTTAAGGAACTCCATTTCCTCATCCCTTTTGGAGGTCGACATTGCTGGGTTGGAGGATTTAATATTAGAAGAACCACTAGTATTCTTAAGGCTGTTTCTTCTAGAAACGGATAAGGAGAAAGAGCCGGAGGTATTCTTAGTAATTAAAGTTTGTGAAAGTCTGTTTACCTCCGATTCGAGTTCTGAATTTTTAATTCGTGTGCAGGTAGCGTCGACACAATCGGTTTTAAAATGCACTGTACACTTGCAGATAGAGCATTGTTCGATATCATGAGCAAAACACTTCCTCATAATTAGTCTGTGTATTTAAAAAATAAAGAGTATTGAGTGCTGGGGCCGAAGCCCAGCTTTAAAGTTAGTGAATTTTACATACGTTGTAAAATTGATTTAGGCTTTTAGGCTTCAAAACATAAGTCGTGGCACAAAATTGAACGCACAGTCACAGATCAGATAAGGGAGAGCTCCGAGCACTGAGGTCCGCTTCCGATCACAGTTGATAACGAACTCCGCTTTCCTCATAAAGGCGGATTCTTGCCTTTGAGTGAGGCTTTCGCAGAGGTATTAATCGTTTCAATCTCAAAGCTGAGGAAATGCTGTAATGACAGCTAAAGAATTTTTCCGATGTCAAACTCGAGTGGGTAGTACCTGTTACTATTCTGCTACGAGATAATGGCATTCTTTAACTTGCTTCATTGACCGTAACATACTGAAATTAGGAGGTCAAATTTAAGACAAAAATTTAATCAGATCAGATGTTCAAATTTCTTTAGAGCTGAGAGTGAGTTTTTAATTAGCAATTTGAAAAGTTAGAGGAGCCAGAGGTATTTTTCTCCCAAATACATTTAGTCAGATGCATAGAAGAACTGTCGCAGTTGCCGGGTCACACTGACTCCGTTGATTCTCTGTTTTTGAATAACCTTAATATGACCACTTATGACCGAAATTGAATGAAAAGTATGAAAGGAATCAATTACCTGCTGGAGCTTCCTTGGAAACTAGTTATGTGACCGAAACACGATCCCATTTTCACGCCCCAAGTGCAGTAAACACACAGATTCAACTAAGTTATTGGTGAAGTAAACGGAGAATAAGAGATTGATTTAACGGGTAGAAATATTGATCAGGAAAAGACTACGATGAGGTGATTATATGCTAGTGAAACTGTTCTGATGATAATTTCAGAAAGATTTAAAATTACAAAATTACAAATCCCGAAAGACGGCGAAGTGAAGGGGAGAAAAAATTGTAAACAAACGAAATTATCGTCAGCTGATTTTGGACGCGGCAACGTCGCCTTACGTCAAGATGCGCGCGCGCGCTAAAACAGTATGCGTTGAAAAAAAGAGCGGCAAATTTGAATTAGCGGACTTTCTCAAAAGGTCCGACACTGCATTTTCCATTTGAGTCCTAATATCAGTGAGTGCTACATGATAGAAAGAGATAGAGTTTCTATATCATGCTGTGGAAATGCAAATACGGCTTCATCGCTAGACTGTCTAATTTTGACGTGAGTTTTTTTTTTTTTTTACAATTAGGTTTTTTATACAATGCGTCAATTTCTTGTTAAAATTTCAAGAATTTCTTGGGGTAGGCCCCTCAGCCCCCTCCGTATTATGGGGTATTCTGTACTCCCCATCCCCGGTGGTAGGGGAACTAGGTTCCCTAGCAAAATGATCTAGGTGCGTCTATGGGCTGGCTGCAGCCAATCGCGCAAGTCGAGAATGCACCAAGCGCGTGTTCAAACTGGGCCCGTTTTGTCGCCAAGCATCCAAGATCCATGATAGCATGCATGTCATTGATTACCTTGAGAAGAACCTTATGCAAAAGCAGGTTAGCTCTACTGAAGATCTAAACCTGTGCGACCGTTGGGTCGTCGGATAATAAATTTAAATACGTACAAACGTTGTAAGGTCATAACTAAAACCCCTTTTATATTCAAATTGGCAACCGAGAGTGGACTACACTTGCGCATCTTAAAAACGGACGTCAATGCCACGGCCGTTTAGCTGTGTTACTGCACTTCCAGATAGTAAGATAGTCTCTGTGTCACGCTCTTTCCAGGCACCCGTCGCATGATTAGATATAGAAACTTTATCGGGATCAATCATTCAGGTAAGACAATACATCGGTAGCCCTTGCTTTGCACAGTTTAAATATTTTCTCAGGTTTCTATTTACCCTTCTCATTCAGATGTAATATTTGCTGAACAAATAGTTAATCCTTNGGGGGGGGGGGGGGGGGGTTCCGATTTTACTAATACGGTCTCAAAAGTGACGGTTGGTGACCTATGACAATTTGGAATAAAAAAAAAAAAGAAAAAAAAGAAAAAAGATCCTTGCTGCAAATCTAGTATATTATGAAAACCATTTACTTTTCCAATGATTTGAAAGTGTGAAAGAGAGGTTGGGGTTGGGTCTCTTGCACCTGGCAACCAAGGAGCCCAACCCCCGGGGTGCCGCACCTGGCGACCAAGGAGCCCTATTTCTGGGGCTGCCCCACCAGGCAACCAAGGAGCCCAACCCCCGGGAGAGCCCCACCTGGCAACCAAGGAGCCCATTTCCAAATTAATAAAAATTGTATCTTTCTCTTTAAAGACAGACTGACTGCTTAGCGCTTCTTTAATGAGAACGTATAAGAACTTTCCCGCTTGTTTATTCATTTCATGAGTCAACCGGTTACTTCATTGTGTTCAATTTTGCATTTTTCACTCGGTGCGATTTATCAAAAATGCCCGTTATCTCAATGCAATTGTTGAAATGCTACATCTGTTCGGGCGCAGGAATACTTCTACTGGGTAGCAGTGCATTCGTTCACAGCGGACACTCAAGTGTTGACGGATGCCCTAACGACGACGAGGAGGATAGATTGGCACTCGCCCAAGTTGGCGATTTGCTTCAACGGGTCTCCCGAGGAGTTGCGTCCCTTCATCGACGAGTGTCGGGCTCGCTACGCGCTCGACGTCGTATTCGACGACCACCTGCCCGAGAAGCAATGGAAAACCCTCGACCAGCTCAGCTCCTGCAGTTACACGTAAGTCGCAACCATCGACGTGGACGAATTCCCTAGAGTACTTTTTGTTTTAGAGTCGTAATATAATGTAATGAGCTATGCCGTGCTAAGGAGGAACGCCGTATGAACATTCGAGAGTTGCTAAATTTTCTTCGATAAAATGTTTATTTTTGAGCAGGGCCGGATTTACCTACTTGCCGCCCATGGGCCGCTTGTATTTTGCCGCCCCCTTCTCATTTGTTTTGAAACATCAATAAAAACCGTCAAGTGAACGTGCCGGAAAGGGAGGGGTGCATAAGACGCGTTTACTCGTGTTGGACACTTTTTTTTGCGAAAGCCCTGTCAACACTACTAGCAAAAGTTAACGGAAGTTTGCGCGAAAGTTAAATTCCATAAACTTGTCTCTGTGTTGAAACGGCCTTTCATTATTTATAAGAAATGAACGAAAACATTATGAAAGAACAAACATAAATGTGGTTTAATCATTTTAACTTCCGCCGCAGCGCTGCCACTGCACTGTGTTTGGCGCAATGCGTGAAGTATTCCTACGGTCTTGCAGGCGCAATGCGTGAAGTATTCCTACGGTCTTGTAGGCGCTATGCGTTTCACACCGACCGGTCGGTGCTGAACGCATGAACGCACTGTGTTGGACGCAATGCGTGAAGTATTCATGCAGTCTTGTATGCGTCAACATGTGGTATACGGTATACTTCCGACCGCGTCGCGCCGAGGGCTTCTCCTTTTCATCTTATCAAATCCTCGTCATGATTGCTCTCTGAGCCGCGCCGCGCGCCGTGCCGTTCCAGGCCAAATTGCGTGTTTGGTTTCTCTCTTAACTCAACTAATTAAGGGTGCTGTCTCTTGTATCACCGAAAAAGTGCGGAAAATTTGCGGTATGAGTGAATTCAGCACTAAAAATCACGAGGGTTTAGCTATTTTACACGAGTTTTGGTTCATTTCCGTTGCCAAATTTTTGAAAACCAATGATTTTCTCGAAAAATTGAGGGAACCACAACTCATTCAGGGGGCACTTTTGTAGAAAACTTTATACTTGGAAGCAAGTTATCTTATTATTCACCGTGGAAAACGCTCGTGCTGTCTGACAGTTTAACCTTGAATCACTTCGTACATATACCCCTTTTCCATCCTTTTTCACTCTTTTCATTGGCATATGTCCATTTATTATTTTTTCAGGTGCCCACTGGACGTGCGGCTTGCCCCTCTCGGCACAGAGTCTGTAGGTTTGGTACAGGAGACCTGGGTGGCCAAATACCCCGGCACAGATGAGCACATCGCACGCTTTGTAACTCATAACCCGAGTCTTGGCGTCTATGATATTGCAACAGGGGAGCTCCGTGCCTGGATACTCTGCAATGAGTGCTCTGAGGTAGCACTCCTTTATGTGACAGATGACCACCGGCGCAAGGGTTATGCTCAACTCCTTGTCAATGCACTCAGCGACCAACTCCTTCGAGCAGGAATTATCGCTCAAGCCAGGATACGAGTAGTCAACAAACCCTCCCTCAAACTCTTCAAGACCCTTGGTTTCAACTCGAGCACCGATACCTGGTTTGTTGTTGTTGGCAAAAAATACAATGAGGCTGCCGGCCAATAATGATTATCATTAGCAGCATCGAAGGCTAATAAAATGCAAAACTATATATCTCCAGTTTGATGTTTCAAAATCCGTTCCTATTTTATTTTTTTGAAAAGAAACAAGCTAACTCCATAGCTTGCAATCTATACAGCATATTTTGCTGGCAGAGAAGAAAAATCAAGGAAGTGCTCAAGAGAGTAAGTTGACTAGTTTTTCTCGGAACATATAAAATATGACTGGATGTTTGCAACATCGCAAACAAAGTTACATGATTTCGCACTTTGACTATCGATATAGTACCTATACCAAAAAAGTTTGCCTCGATGTTATTGGTGCGGTAAAGAAATTCCATCCATGTAGAAAACTCTAATAAAATCTAAGAGACGAAAATTCCTCACAATAGAGGGTCAATTCTAATTTGTTACTGATGTATTTCTTTAGATTTAATAGTATAAAGTCAAGAAATATTTTGTCAACTTCATGATGCATCTTGCTTGCACTTGGTGACTTTAGAGGACAGTTTGAAAACTAAGTCTCCTGACAAAAGGTGGTTTGTTGTACTGTAGGGGAATCATAAAAATATGGTTTGAGAGGAGATATCTCTCTTCTGAGTGATCTTTCTCCGCTTTCTGAAGGTTAGCTCAAAAATAGTATTTCTTTTTCTGTAACTTGAAGATTTTCTGAAGGTTAACAGGATTAACAGCGAAAGAGAATGTTTCACAAAACTACATGGGTAAAAAATACATGTAATAAAAATTCCATTAACATAAACCAGCTTATTTATTCTAAAAATAAAGGTAACTTTTCAAGCCAAATGTATACGTAATAAAGATCAGTTCATCAAAAATTTCTGAAAAGGCTGATTTGACACTTTTTAGGTACACAGTTAAACTTAAAAACCCGAAGATATTTTTTCTTTTTTTTGGAAAGCCATCAAAATTTTAGTGCTTTGGTTTCTTTTTCTTAAGGCCACAATAAAACAAAGATAAAATTTGAAAATAAAAAAATAATTTCTGCCTCATTCAATAAAAGAATGAGACATTTTAGAATGTCATGCAAAGAATACCAATAAAAATAACAATTTGCAAAAAACTAAAAATACAATAATTAATGAACATAACAAACTTGCACCTACAAGAGTACAAAATATATAAAACGAATGAATCAAATGAAAAATAAATTAATAGGTAACAAGTTGAAGAACAAAAAGAATAGTATGGTTGTACTGATGAATGATGAAAGGATGGAACTATGACTGCACTACCTTTAGAAGTATTTTTTTATAGTCGCCGGAAGTATCATCCTAAAAATAGAAATAAAAAGCAGGCAATAGATAAAAGAATTAGATCAACAGGAATAGCAATGAAAAAGTACAGAGAAAGGCAGCTCGATTTTTCAAACCGGTTAAGCGCTTGCACTTGGACGGCATGCAGTTCAAATGAAATACAAAAATAATACTTAATGACAGTTATTGGTATTTTGACGGTATAGAAGATTATGCATTTAACACAAAATTAACACTAACTTAAAACAAAAATAAAAAATTTGCGCAGATAAATTGAATGCGAATAATCAGATGCGCGGAGTCTGAATTGTTGTTGCATAGAGAACTATGTTGGAATCAAGTTATTCCAAAAGTTTTTGTAAGAGAGAGCTTGTATCTCCGCCTACATCATCCTAAACAGACAGAAACAAAGAGGAAACGTACGTGTCAATTCTACCATTAAAAAAACATTTGTTGGTAGTGATAACCGAAAGTACACTACAACTATTTGGCGAGAGCCTGTGATGTAGGCTTCTATGATTGAGGACTGGAGTCAAAGAGAGATGTTCTTTTTTATATTTCATAAGATGATATCTGTTCTTTTTATTTTGATTGATCCAAAATAAGCCAAAAACAAATTAATGCAAGCCTTTAACCAGTGATGTTAAAAATCCAAAACTTCAAAAACTGTAGATTTTTTGAGGGGAAAGAATCAAGTCTATTACTTTGTTCCCATTTTTCCCGGTAATTATCTTTTCACCAGCAAGAATATAATATAACTACATCCCTCTTGTAAAACTTTTCAAGACAAGCTGATGAGATTTTCGTATTTAGATTCAGATGAGGGAGGAAACCTAAAAAAAGGTTGCTTGAGTTTGTTATTGATTTGTATGGATGCATTGCAGGAAAAATATCATACCATCATACTGCCATCCAAAGCAAGACCACCGTAAGTCCATTCCAGATTCACAAAAATTATTTTTTGTAAGAGTACATGAGCACTTACTTACTTGCTTCTTTCTTTCAGTAATAGTTCCAGATACTATAAAGCGGTTACCCTAAAGATGTAAAGGACAAATGTTTGCTGGTTTTCTTGAACTAGAACATTTTGTCAGGGAAATAATGGAATAAGTCTAGAGTGGTGCTACGGTGTTGTTTCTGTGGGTGAAGGGCATCATACTCTGACAGCCCAGTTATGCAACAAAATGACCCAAACTTACAGAGTTTCCTCACCTTCCTGCATTCATCTTTCTTTTCAGAGGTTCTGGGCAGAGATGCCAAAAATGCCCAATTGCAGGATTGGGCCAATGATGGCTTCCAACAATAGAAGCAAATCGAAAATAAAGCCATCAGGCAAAAATACAAGCTTGCAGCAAACTGTCAGTATTTAGGAACCTTCTGCACCCTTGGTATTAGGATTAACATTGTGAGTTCAATTTGGCCTGCATGGGAGTAACATAACTTTTATTTCTTCTTTAAATTGTCGATTCTAAACGATTTTTTACTACATTTTAAATTGACAGCAACATCCAGAACTTATTTAATTACCCGGATGATGAGAAAAGATCTACTTGGGAGAAAGAGAAAGAAAATACTTACAGCAATCCACGATTCCAAAGTTTGGCCGTATTTTTCCTCGAAAGCAGCTTTAATATCACCAAGATCTATTTCTGACCGGGAGACGATGATCCGAATTAAAGTTCTGTCATCAGTTCCAGCTCCAGCCATACTATCATGCAATCTTTCTGCAAAGTACGTCACCTTGCTCCTTACAACTTTGGCTACAAAACGAAAATGAGACATCATTTTATAATGTATGAAGAATAAGTAAACAGATGTTTAAGAATTCATTATTACAAAAAGGTTTTCCTCCAGGCTGATAAATTTTGAATATAAGGATCGTATGGGTGGTATATCTCTAATGGATTGCAATATTGACAAAAGAATGTCTGCAACTAAACAAAATTTCGAACTTCATATTTTTAAAGAAAGTTTGGGTTTATCGGTTGTTGAACTTCATTTTTTTAGTACCGTCATCAATGATTGATGCAGTTAGGCTGATTCTAGTTGAACCTGTCCAATTGACCTCCCTTAATGTAAACAAAATTGGACTACATTTTGCAATTAGGAACTAAAATTTCCAGCTCAGTTTAGAGAAAAAATATGTTCTGTTTGTTTTCTTATGCATATCAGTGTTTTTGCGGATGAGCCAGAAACTGTGGTTCCTCATTGCAAAATAAAGTGTAATTGTTCCTTGCACTTGCAAAAACAGCTCCCTAGAAAACTTACAGTGTAATTGTTCCTTGCACTTGCAAAAACAGCTCCCTAGAAAACTTACAGCCAAAACAATTAACTCTGGAGACTCACAAGGCAATCTTTTGTTTTTTTCCCTGTCTTTTCTTGCGGAGGCATTTTAATTTAATAAGCTTTACAAATGCAATTCTTACCAATGGCTAGAAGACCTTTGCCAACACTGCCAGAAAATTCGCTACTGATGGCTTCTTCAATATCATGTCCTGCAATGACGGCGTATTGGTTGAAAACCTCTCGCAGGTGATTGTAGCTGCGCGTTGCCAGTACGCTGTTGAAGACCGATTCATCAGTTCCCCAACTTTTTTCTACGCCTGTTGATTAGAATTTCATTTAAAGACTGAAATCAAGTGCTAGGGCTACTTTTGGTTACTCAATTTTACAAGAATTAATAGATTACTCTTATGTTTTAAAAAATTGCATGAATTGAGTTTGGGCCATGAAGCAGGTTTGGATAAAAAACCAAGTTCCTTACTCGTACGCAAGTGATGTTTCATGACTCTCTGATAAGTCTCAGATTTACTTACAGAGTTTTCAAACTAAAGAGAAAAAGATTTTGATAGTGGTTGGAGCTGATTCAGTTAATTGGACTGCATTTTGCAATTTGGACCTATAAATTCTGGCTCATCTGGAAAAACTCTTATGTGCATAGGGTAACTAATGGCACATACGTTGTTTTTAAATCAGGCCAGAATTTTTAGTTCCAAATTGCAAAATGCAGTCCAATTATGTGTTGTGAACTATAGGATAAACTAAAAATAAGAAAATTGGTGACAACAGAAATTCAAAATTTGAGGTCAGGAAGAGGCCATTACAAGGATTTTATCTATTAAAATGTCTACTAATCACCAAAGTATGCTATAAAGAAAAATTCATTTTCACTCATTGGCGAATGGAACTTTGAACTAAAGCTTGGTGTTTTGATTCCTTAATATACATCTATATTTTAGACCTCAATGGCTTAAGTAAAAAAAAACATACATCTATTGGGACATGTTATAATGTTTTATTATGTTTTAATTTTTAAATATACACTGGCCGAAATATCTCCTTGATTCTCTATGAATATGTTTGAATAAGAAGAAAAAATGCAAAGAAAATATTGAGGAAAACTTTTGAAAAGGCACACAACTTTTGAAAAAATGTAGGCAGATATTTGCAACGTAATAATCAGAGATACATATCTTCTGACATTAGGCATCAATATAGTTTCAAAAACTGACTAAAATTAGCTTTCATCCCTCATTTCTTAAAGCCGCTCTTCTGGAAAGTATCTGGGAGGCTAAAGAGATTTTTCAAAAATGCATCTCTTGAAGATTAAGAAGCTGTCTGAATCTCTTGTCTGTCTGCCAAAAAAATTAAAGTCATAATCAGAACTCCTGATGAAATTCGAAAGGGACTTGATGATGATCTACTTACGAGATTTGCATCCAAAAAATGAAAGACATGGGTTGATTAAGAAAAAGAAAGGAATTGAAAGAATTGCCTTGAAACTTGTTTAGAAAGCAATGTTCTTCATTCGTTTTTTATAAAGAAACTGGAGATATTTTAATGATTCCACCATTGTTTTTGGGAGGGGGGAGTGTAATCTTGGAATATTACTTGAAAAGAAAGACTCCTATAAAAAAAGCATGTAAGCTGCGACGAACAGCTCATGGTGATATTAAGCATTAAAGGATCATCATTAAAAATGTATGAAAACTCACTCCATCTCAATAAAAACAGATCATAAAAGCAGGACTGACCATGGCATTTTAGAGGTGATTCCTGTGCTCTCTCTTCTAATAAATTCCTTTTTTCTTTTCAGTATTTTCACATTTCAGACACTAGTAGTAAGAGAGAACCAATAAATTAGGAGTAAAGATAAAATACTTCCTCAGGAAAAGAGAGTTATTAAAACAGAGGGAACAAAAAAAGCTTACAGTGAGAACGATTATTAAAACAATCGAAAAGCTGAGAGAAGGGCAAGGTTGACCATTAGTATGAGTCAGCAACAACAGTGATAATTACATACTGCGAAGAGGAAGCTTGAGTTGAAACCATTTCTTTAATTAGTTTGTTGCATGCTTTCAGGCTGTTAGCTGGTTGTTGTGGACATCCCTTGTCTCCACAGAGAAATTATGAAAGTTCAAATCCAAAACAAATTTGAATAAAGGCCTGACACAAACTTATTTTTTAGAGCAAATGTTTTTGTCTGGTTCCTCAAGTCATATGAGTGAATCAGTCACTTGGATGGAAAATCAGAAATAGCACTAAAAATTACTATTTTATTTCTTATTTATTTATTTTTGCTATTTCAAAGAACCTGCACTCTCACAGTTAATAACTAATACATTCCCTCATTTCATCAGGTGTTCTGTAAATATAGCACTAAAACTTTAGACTTCATTGTCTAGAAATTGACTGAAATGAGAAATATCTTTCTTTCAAATACAAGCTGGAGCAGACAAATCGATGATAAATGTTATTCTTGAAATATTACAGCTGAGGGAGGTAAAAAAGTTATTCCCACTTTTTGACCTGATTCCCTTTGACCTGACTCTTTGATTCCCTCCCCTGGGCTCCCAACCAAAATTCCACTCAAATTTTTTTTAAATAGTCAGCATCATTATTAAAATCCGTAATTCAAACATAAGTGGTTCATTGATGCTATAGAAATAAGTACAAAGTATAGATGTCATCTTCACTACAATGTACAATTCTGCTAAAAAGTACATTTATGAATTTGACTCAAAAGGACCCTACAACAAAACGGCCAAATCGGCCTAAACACGGAATCGTACGATTTTCTCAGGGATGATAGAGGGTCTTCCCAGACACTCAAAACTGGTCATATTTTTTGCCTAACCCCCAGGGAAAAGAGGGGAGAGGGGGTCAAAGTCAAAACCTTTAAATTAGCATAACTTCTCAACGGTTTGTCGTAGAAAGATGATCTTGGTGTCAAAATTTCCAGAAAAATGAGAACTTTCAGAATATATGTATAAAATTAATTAAATTTTAAAATTTGACCCACTTTTGGGGCATTTTACAAGGTCCCCCTTTCGTAAATTTTCGTTTTTTGAGATTTTCGGTTGTTCGGTTCGCACGGATCAAAACAAAAACAATTTCAAATGAAAGTAGAGCGTTTAAGCTTTAAAACAAGCCCAAGATAATCTTGGGGAAACGATTAGAAGCGGAGTTATGAGTCTTCAAAGTTGACGCGGCGCGCGGGAACCTTGTATGTTCCGAGTCTCAAGGTCACCTGCGCGCCCCGGATTGCCTGCAGGTTGCAAGTTTTTGTGTTTTTATGCTTCTGTAGGTCATTTTTAATGTATATCATTCAATGAAGATAGAATAATCGAAATTTTTTAATTTTACGGGAGGAGCGAGAGGGGGCTTAGAGTATCAACCATTATGTCCATCATACCTCATTAAACATTTGCTGACGATGACGATTCTGCTCTTATAATTTAGAAGAAACCATGGACCCTCAGTTCAAATATATATATGCTCCGTACAGAACTGAACCATTTAGAAATTATAACCCATTGATGCCAAATTTTGGGGTACCCCTAATTTTAAAATTTTTTAATTGAGCTATAAGCTACAGCGCTTGACGGAACTCACTTGGTAAAGCCAAATAGTTTCTCGTAGAAGCAGACGAGCTTTGAGCTTCAAGACAAGTCTCAGTTATTCTTGAGGGGGCTATTTGAAACGCAGTTAAAATTTTTTGACGTTAATGTGGTGTACCTCGCCGAAGGCCCATTGTGTAAAATTAAAAAATTCTGATTAAACTATCTTCATTGAATGATTTACATTAAAAATGACCTACAGAAGCATAAAAACACAAAAACTTGCAACCTGCAGGCAATCCGGGGCGCGCAGGTGACCTTGAGACTCGGAACATACAAGGTTCCCGCGCGCCGCGTCAACTTTGAAGACTCATAACTCCGCTTCTAATCGTTTCCCCAAGATCATCTTGGGCTTGTTTTAAAGCTTAAACGCTCTACTTTCATTTGAAATTGTTTTTGTTTTGATCCGTGCGAACCGAACAACCGAAAATCTCAAAAAACGAAAATTTACGAAAGGGGGACCTTGTAAAATGCCCCAAAAGTGGGTCAAATTTTAAAATTTAATTAATTTTATACATATATTCTGAAAGTTCTCATTTTTCTGGAAATTTTGACACCAAGATCATCTTTCTACGACAAACCGTTGAGAAGTTATGCTAATTTAAAGGTTTTGACTTTGACCCCCTCTCCCCCCTTTTCCCTGGGGGTTAGGCAAAAAATATGACCAGTTTTGAGTGTCTGGGAAGACCCTCTATCATCCCTGAGAAAATCGTACGATTCCGTGTTTAGGCCGATTTGGCCGTTTTGTTGTAGGGTCCTTTATTGTTCAGATTAGTTTCTCACAAATATTCAAATAATCCAAAAAGCCTCAAAAGTCAGCAAAGACTATCCTATTAAAGTCTCTGCTTGAATTCTTGCCAATTCTCTCACCTAAAACTGTGAACTGAATAATTAGAGAGGACAAGCGAAGAGAAAAGAGAAAACGAAACAAGACAAAGCAGGGGAGCTAAGAATAAATGAAATAAATAGACTGCTCCAACCACAGCCCACATGTAAGCCAGAGTAAGGTTGAGGATGCGAGATTCACAGATTTTATGGTCACAACACAATGAGGTGACCTTGAACTTACAAATATTTTTAATTAGAGGCAGACACCTGGTAATTACCACCAGTCAAGTGGCACATATGCGACCTTGCTGATAGGAGAGAAAGGTCTCAGCAGAAGAAGAGTATTCAGGCTTCTAAATTCAAGTAAACTTCATTTTGAAATGACAAACAACATGAAATAATGAAAGTGCCATTAGTTTTCCTAGGAAGATACATGGTTTTATGAATAGCTGCAAAATGTAGTCTAAGTGAAGATTTAGAGAGGTTTGTTCAAATAATAGCAAATGAAACAAATGGACCTAACCTATCTCAAAATTTCAGACGTTGTCTTTAAAAAAAGAAACATATCATTACCAGCGGCATGCAGATCTTCAGCATCTTTCAGAACTTGAGCCTGATCCACATCAACGCTTTCATCTCGATTGGCCTGAAATCAGGAGGGGGGAAAAAAATGAGAAAAAGGCAAAAAAAACTTGTTAAAAATTGTGGCAACATAGACTGTGATCCAAAGTTTACATACATAAGTTTGAGAGCTGTTGGATTGAACACAAGCTCCAATTAAAAATAGAAAAATAAACTAGTTTTAAAAAATGATGAAGAACAGAACACTTAAGGAGGACAGACACTAACTTCCTATCACAATTTTTTCCGGAGGATGGAAAATAATTACAGGCTAGAAATTCATAACATTCCTTGAAACCTCATTTAGCTATCTGACTCTAGAATAAGTAAGAAGCATTCAAGGGAATTTCAAGTCAAGGAAGCGCGAAAAAACATCTCGAAATTGCAGCTACAGTCATTACATTTAGGGAACATTTTTTGCATAAATATCTAAAAATATTCTATAATAATTGACATGAAGAAATATTAATTACATTAGTTTAAAAAAAATGAGGCAAGGGGAGAACTTTGGAAATTGAGTAATTTAGTTTTTTATTTTTAACACTGACATCTAAGTCTTAAAGCTGTGCGTACTGGATAAGTTTCATAAGAAATGTTAATTGCAAACCAAAAAATTCTTATGGATAAAGCAGCCTAGCTTCATAACAATCAACTATAGATGCATTCATATATCATCATATATATTCATATATTCATCATATCATTCTGATAAAGAAATACAGATATGAAAGACATGTGCCGTACCTGAACAAGAGAGACCAAAAGTCTTTGAAAGTGGCCAGATGTATCACCTTTCAGATCTTTCTCCAATGACTTCTCGTATTCTGAAATAATAAAATCTAACATGAGTAAAAAAGCTTCAATATGGACAGCTAATGCAAATTTTGGTGAAATGAGTGCCATAAAGATTAAAGAGAGAGAGACAACCTCTAAATATTATTTCTGACTTACTCAAATGGTTTATCCGCTTGTCATCATGCAATGAACCAAAACACTTTGAGATTTAGATTTCAACTTTGACAGTTCAAGGAAGTTTGATTTCCGAGAACAGTAAAGCAGCAATGAGTGAGAACTTTCACAGCAAGATTTTACTTGAGAATTACTACATGGCAATTATACAGGGGCAGTTTTAAACTCAAGAGCCTCTTTTAAGTTACAGGAGGGAGTAAAAATAAAATGTAGAAAAAATGAAAAAAAAAAATACAAAATGAATATAATGCCCTGAATTAAAATTTGGAACTTTTATTTCCATGAATTAAACAGCAATCACTGATAATGAATCAACAACTAACTACAGATAAATGGTCTCTCTTTTCAATTACATCAAGTTGTTAAACATCAAAGTAAACGAGAAATAATGATGATTAAACAATAGAACTCAATTCAATTCCATTTATTTATTTTCTTCAGTTTGAAATGTACATGTACATTTGTTGCATGTGCATTTGTACAGGTACAATGTACAACTTGTTCTGGTATTCGCTCAGAAAAATAAATTGTAAAAACATTAAATGGTACATTGTTGAATTACCTTTTTCATAGAAGGAAGCAATGGTTTTTATTCCGTAGTTGCTCAATGTGCACAAAATTTCGATGATGGCTCCTTCGTCTGTGCCAAGTCCAGCAATAGCATCATGAAGTTCTTTGGCGTAGTACAAAGGCAATGGTGTGAGCAGAGCAAGGATAACTCGCTCAAATTTTCCACTCAATTCACTTTTCAAATCATCGATCAGATCCTGAAAAGGATTGATGATTGTTAGATTATGAAAAGATGCAGGTTGATGCTCTTGTATTAAGAGTAAGTACATCATTAAAAGTCTGAATTTGTTATCCCAGCTAGATTATAAATTGTAAATTAAGATACATTCCATTTTTCTTCCCTCTGCATACTAAGTTGAAGTACTGCAGCTCCTCAATTACCTGGTTGTAGGTACAAGACATAAAAAGGATTCAAATAAATTTGCTGTGGTGATAGTGTGACATATCTTCCAAATGGTGAACCTGGGTCAAATTTGAAAGGCCAAACTTCAGGCCAAAATGAATGATGTCAATAAGTAAGTATACACAGTTCAAACTCTACCTATAACATTCTCCTCAGAGAAGGCAGCAATTTTTTAAAATCTTCATCTATTATTTTGGATGAACTTTGAGGAATGCTTTCAGGAAGGCAAAAGTAAGCTTTTGAAACAGAATTCCTCCAATAAAAATAAAATTACATAAAAAAAATGTATATAAAACTTTTGGCCTTGATTAGTTTAGTATTGATGGAAAATTAAACAAAAATATTAGAGAAAAATGGCAGTTGAAAAAGGTGGACTGTTAGGAAGCTTTAGGCGATAATGATATTGATTATACTAAACACTTACTTTTCCGTACAGGGTTTTGAAAGCCTCTGCAATTTCGAGACGTTGCACAATGCCTCGTCTACCCAAGACTTCAATGATTGCAGCCTCATCTGTTCCAAATCCCTTCATCGCTTTGCGCAAAACCTCTGCATCTGCATTGGCATCAAATGGGTTGGCAGGGTAAATAGTGGGGGTACACTGGAACATATCATTGTAAAAGATTAAAACTGGAATGGTTGACAAATATTTTGAGAATGAACATTTAAGAGTCCACTGAGTATGTCGACCAGAAAAAAATTTGAATTCAAAATGGGATTGAAAAATGAAAGATTTTTTTTTTTCATGCTAAAATAGAGAGAATAGAAATGTTAATAAAATATTGAAGGAGTCAACAAGTAAAATTAAACCATTCAAAATTCGATAAAAAAAACACAAGTAAAAACAGAGAAGACCCACATGACCACTTCCTGGAAAGAGTAGCATTGGGAAAATTTCCTGCATTCCTGGCTAGGAGATATGAATGATTATTGTCACGGATTATGATAACTACTTGTATGAAGACAAAGTAGTATTTGAAAATTATTTTTGAAAGAAAATGTTCCTGTGCTTGTTTGAATTTGAACTTCTTGATGCAAAACCAATTCCTTTCAATGAAAATAAAGAGCTGACATGCTCTACAATCACAGTCAAGGTTTTAATTACAATCTTTATGACTTTGCTTAATGGTCCATGCTAATCACAACTAGGAGGGTATTGTCACAAGTTGAAACGCATGTAAACATTTGAGATGACGTCATAAATAGGTCATTAAAAATGCTGTAATAGCTGCAGCTGTGGATCGCAGTAACAAAAACTCTCCCAATAAGCTGCTAGTTTAAAGTCTTAGAGCATTCTGGAGTCAAGCAATCAGTACCCTGTTATGAGTGCTCCTCTTTCCTCACTGATTGAGTTTCTCTTAAATTTGTCTCATCGTAGATGACACGATCATCACTTGCCCATTCAAGAAAACTCAGCATAGCACTGTGCTGAGTTTTTTTTCCTGGTAACACAGCAACAATCTAAATTCGGCGATTGGTTCATTCAATGCTGTTTTTTCTTGCGTTAGCAAGATGTTCCTCCCTCCCTCGCGGACAACAGACCACACGACAATAAGGACAGCCACAGGAAGTTCAACTATGGTGTTTTTTTTTTCTCCTGAGAAATTTGAAGAAAAATTCTGTGGTACTTAAATTCCTCTTCAGACAGAAAGAGAAAGATCGATGAGAAAAGTAGAAAACTAACCTTGTACGGGTAGTATTGAGACATTTTGATGAAGTGTAGAAGTTCCTCTGTAAACACACAAATTGAAGAGAACACTGCAAGTGCACTGCGGCGGTAAGCGGCCTTCAAAGAATTTGGAGTTGACGCACTGACGAATTTCAGAGGCACCGATTAGATAAAGGGGGCGACGCGAGGGAAGGACTTCCAGCGACTGGAATGGACTCAACGATCTTGGAGAAGAGAACCACAACTGAGAGAAGAGAGAGAATCCACGGCTCGAGCGACACACCCAACAAAGCGTAAGCTCCAGACACTTAGGTCATGAATCGTGACTCATCCGTTGGAGGATGTGACCGGCGCGGCGGAGGAAATAATGAATGATGGGTAGTAAAAATAACTTCGCAATGCAATGTTGCTGAGCTGAATCTGCGCGAGTTCGTTTAGCTTGCAGAAATGAGTGATAAAAACATAAACAAACAAGGTCGGCAGCTCACTCGTCTCTCATTGGTGGAAGATGATGAAAGATTTTAGCCAACTTATGAAAAAAAAAGTACACTATCCAGTTCTCGCCAATCCCTGATTTCAGTCAGACATTATACATTTAGATAGAGTCCCTTTANATAATGAATGATGGGTAGTAAAAATAACTTCGCAATGCAATGTTGCTGAGCTGAATCTGCGCGAGTTCGTTTAGCTTGCAGAAATGAGTGATAAAAACATAAACAAACAAGGTCGGCAGCTCACTCGTCTCTCATTGGTGGAAGATGATGAAAGATTTTAGCCAACTTATGAAAAAAAAAGTACACTATCCAGTTCTCGCCAATCCCTGATTTCAGTCAGACATTATACATTTAGACAGTGATAAGATGTTCAAATATTAGGTAATTAGGTGTAAAATATAAAATTCTCGTTCATATCTTTGCAGTTCTGATAATTCATTGAATCTATAACACGAGAAATGAATAACCGTGAGCCGTGGACGCTGTTATGTTAACCATGCTGTTAGGGATCTTGGAATGCTTTGAGGCGCGAAAGTTTAAAAAAAGTCTTATCAGCTATCATCGGTTTAGTACATATTAAAAGTATATACACAAGAATCGAAATGACGGATTTTCTGTCTCACTCTAAACGTACGCAAACTCATTCGGCGTGGACTCCCACATTTTATTAATAATTGATCTTATTGCTGATGAATAATAAATAAAAATAAAATAAAAAATACAGTGATTTTTTATCCAGATTTGAAAGAATTCCTGTGCAGTTTTGTGGCTTCTTATTAGAGAAAAGCTCGTAGGTGTTATGAAAATGGGCCCGAATTTCCATCGAAGAAAATTTCGTGAATGCGTAATCGTGCGTTTATTTCATAACAAATTTTGGTGAGTTTTGGCTTCATTCCATTTTGAGGCCAAGCCGCAGTCGTGCGGGTGGACGGTCGCCGATCATGCACCTTGGTTGCCAAATAGCGAGATAAATTTTTCTCATTATTTATACAGATTTTTTCGGGAAGACGCGCAACCGTCGCGACGACGCGCGAAGCTACGTAATATAATGCAATCAAGTCTAATCTGGCAGCATTGCGTATGCCTCCCACGCAATGGAAGAGCACGCTTTAATAAGTCTTTGAACGACTTCAAAGAAATTTTGTTCTATACCTCAACAGGACGGACTATGAGAGGGTTTCCCTACTTAAACGTGGATGCTAGCGATCAATATTTCGTCACCTTCCAGGCAAAGTATCACAAGCGCCATGCGACGTTTAAAAATTTCCGCCGCCATTTAATTTTTTTACAGAGAAATTGTTCAACGAAGCTGTCCGAAAATTTCACTGAATTTTCTTTGTGCTGCCGATAAAATTTAGTGAAATTTCCAAACAGATTCAACCAACAATTTCTCAGTAAAAAAATAAAATGGCGGCGGAAATTTTTAAACGTCGCATGGCGCTTGTGATACTTTGCCTGGAAGGTGACGATTTACTTACATAGGCCCAGTTCTCGCGTTTTACTTTTTTTTTCGTACAAATTTTTTACAGTTATTTTTGATTCAGTAATCAAGGTAAATAAAAAGCTGACCGCGATTTTTCATTCACGATTTTTGGCTTATAGAAAATTTAAACCTTCCTCAAATATTTTACAGAAAAGGTTAATACGTTGGGGG